CAGCTTCCTGTCACTTGATGTGTCCCCTCTAACCACCATCTGTCATCTCAATCATCTTCCAGACTGCCCGTCTCCTACCTGGCCTGCTGCAGTGGCCTTAGCTGGCTTTCGCCTCATCTGTTCCGGGTCTTTTTAAAGTCCACGCCACCTTCCTCGACCCTTTCACACAGGTTCTCAACCTTCCTAATGCAGCGACCCTTTCATACAGTTCTTCATGTGGTGGTGACCCCCCAACCATAACATTATTTTCATTGCTACTTCATAACTGTCATTTTGCTACTGTTATGTATACGATGACCCCTGTGAAAGGGTCGGTCTACCCCCAAAGAGATAGACCAATATTTAACACACTGTGCCACCAGGGCTCCCTCAAGGTAGACAACCTGAGATTAGCATACATGGTACCACCACTCAGAGGTCAACCCAGATATGGAAGTATCCAAAGAGAAACAAACCTGCAAGACCACAAATAGGGACCCAGAGATAACCGTTTGTAATGATGACACTTAAAAATAGATGAAATTGTATAGTTACAGAACTTTCAAACGGAGAGGAGGTCAAGTGGATTTCAAGAACTTGGGTGAAGGAGAGAGCAGTATGCAATACAGAAGAGGCTAAAGAATGATGTAGGCACAGGAGGGTCCTGGGAGGAGTGTAAGAGTTAAAGGCAACATAGGTAAATACAATTATATACACAATCCTACAGTAACAAGTGATTTATGAATAGATGCATGCATAGACATATGGGTGAGTGATGTGGAGGGAGAGTGGGAGTATGTCTACTCCACCCCCATATATATATGGATGATGACATGGATGTTTACAATTGCTGCAATTATAACCTTGGATGTGGTACAGCATACAGGGATCAAAGTTAGAAAACTTTGGGACCTTAAGGGAGTCACTGGGTTTTGAGGTTCAGGGTTATAGTCCTGGGGGATGCCAAGATCAATTGGCATAACATAGTCCACAAAGTTTACATCCTACTTTGATGAGTACCAAATGGGTCTTAAGCTCATACGTGGCCATCTATGGTATAACTATTGGCCTTTCCCAATCCAGAGGAAAGAAGGGTAAGGAAAATTGAAGACACAATGGAATAATTAATCTAATGGACCACACAAACATTATCTCCACAATCCTGAGACCAGAAGAACTAGATGGTGCTCGGCCACCACTACCAATGACTCTGGAAGAATCACATCAGAATGTCTTGGGCAGAGTGAGAAAGATGTGGGCCAAAACTAAAAATCACACACACAAACCAAAACTAAAAATCACACACAAAAACCAAAACTAAAAATCACACACAAAAACCAAAACTAAAAATCAC